CTGATACGCCTGGCAACTGCGGGTTGTGAACCCGAGGTTCTTGCAGCCTCCGCACACCACTTTCGCTCCATTCGCCGCCCGACGATCTTCCACTTGATTATGCTTCAAATGTTTCGTGTCCGAGAACGCTTCTCCGCACGCCGCACACGTTAGTGGCTTCGCGTCCGCCTAGGCCTTCCGCTTGCGATTCGCTGCCTCCGCATTCCCCCGTCGCACCTCTTTCTCTCGTTCTTCCGCGCATTTCCGACAGAGCCTTTCCCCCGCAGCATCGTGCTTCTTCTGAGCTTCCGACATATCCGCCTTTTCGCCATATAGCGACAGGCACTTACCGTTCGTACATCGCACTGTTCCGACGCTCTGATTCCACTTCGCGCTGTCTTTCCGCGAGTTCTGCTTGGCTTTGATACCGCTGCACTTCGCGCAGCACATTGTCCTAATCCTTTTCGTTTCCCCGTCGTCGGCAGCCGCATCCGCGTTCCGACCGCTGCCTTGGCGTGCCGCGTCGTCACTCTCTCATATCGTTGCCCACCCTCTGCACGTCTTGCACCATTTCTCGCCCGCGGTTCCCCGTGCGGGCTGAGGGATGCCCCCAAAAACAACCCCGCCTCACCAAAGAAGTCAAACCCAGCAAGAAATATACGGGCCCCAATCCAACGCTTCCACCCTTTGGGCATCTCCAGAACGATGCCAAGATTGCATCCGCGTCCTTTCTTTTCAGATGGGCCCCCCAGGGCCTCGAGATGACCCCAAGCGGATTCCACATGGCCCCAAGAGAAGTCATTATGGACCCCTACACGACTCCCCAGCCCGATTCAAGCGAGCCGGCAAGACCGCCAAGATGAGGGGTGAGCGGATGTGGCGTAAGCCTATAGAATCGATCGGTCTCACCATCGATATCATTACCCACCTCTCTATAAGTCTAACTATCGACCTCTCGATGGATTTCCTTCTCGATCTCACAATCAATCTCGCTATAGATCGCACGAGCGATATCACGATCGATCTCACTATCGATCTCACTGAATCGACTTCACTACCGCTCTCACGATCAACCATACTATCGTCCTCGCTACCCGTTCCACTGCCGATCTCACGATCGATTTCACTATCGATCTCAATATCCATATCACTAATTTTCAAACCATCCGCTGCTTGGGGCTTTTCTCTGGTGTACTTCTTTGGTGGGCCGATAGGCACATCAGGACGCTTCGCCACTGCTTGGCCTGGAGTCTTTTTTTCATTTGCAACCATAGCGGGCGTTATCGGGGGGCATACCGTAACGGCCCCCGCAGACTGTGGTGCCGGACGCATCGCGGCAGTGCCAGGAGCGCAATGAGGGGGGAAACGTTACGTTATGGGGAAGAAGGGGGGTTGGGGAGGGTAGGGGCATAACGCGAGTTATGGCCCAGACGGTAACCAAAACACTCTCTTGGCCCTGGCCTCGCCCAGGGAAGCCGGGCTGGCGCCCAGAGAACCCCCCCCCCTCGCGGGCCTGCGGCGTGCCCGGCCGTGCGCCCAAGCAGTCGCAGAGCGCAGCCCGCCGCGGCGCCGCCGCCGCACGCGCACGACCCCGCCGTCGTGCGGAACGCTCCTCGCGGGCGGAGGCGGCGGCGGGGGCGGCGGCGACGACGACGACGACGACGACGATGACGACGACGACTACGACGACGACATGGAACAAGGCCCCCATTGGCAACACCTCCTCCTCCCGCCTCTGTCACCCCTCCTCCTCATCCTCCTTCTCGTCCCCTAGTACTCCTCCTCCCTCCTACCTCCCTCCCTCCTCCCTCCTCCCTCCTCCTCCTTCCTCCGTCGTCCTCCTCCTCCTCGCTCTTCCTCCTGCTGCTACTGCTTCTCCTCCTTCCTCCTCCTCCCTCCTCCCTCCTTCCTCCTCCTCCCTCCTCCCTGCTCCCTCCCTCCTCCTCCCTCATCCCTCCTCCCTCCCTCCTCCTCCTCCTCCTCCGTCCTCCCTCCTCCTCCCTCCCTCCCTCCTCCCTCCCTCCTCCCTCCTCCCTCCCTCCTCCTCCCTCCACCTCCTCCCTCCTCCCTCATGCCTCCTCCCTCCTCCCTCCTCCTTCCCCCCCCCTCCCCTCCCTCCATCCTCCCTTCTCCCTCCTCCCTACCTCATCCTCCCTTCTCTCCTCCTCCTCCTTCCTCTCCTCCTCCTCCCTCCCTCCCTCCCTCCCTCCTCCCTCTCTCCCTCCCTCCTCCCTCCCTCCCTCCCTCCCTCCCTCCCTCCTCCCTGCTCCCTCCCTCCCTCACTCCCTCCCATCTCTGCCCGGCGGCGCCAGAGTTGGCCCCGCACTCCGTCGCCGTGGGGACCGCCGGGCAAGCGGGACAGTCTAGTCTGCGAATTACGGGGAGGAAAAGGAGGGGGAGGAGGAGGGAGGAGGGGACGGTCGCGCAGACGGCGCACCGGCACGGGCGGCCCGGCAGGGGAAGGGGAGGGAGGGGGAAGGGAAAGGGGAACGGGGGGCGGCGGTGTCCGTCGGCGCGGTGGTGGTGGTCAAGCTGGTGGTGGCCGTGGTGGTCGTGGTGGTCGTGCTGGTGGTGGTCGTCGTGGTGGTCGGGATGTTGGTGGTCGTGGTGGCTGGTAGGTGTGGTCGGTTTGCTGGTGGTGCTGATGGTCGTGGTGGTCGTGCTGGCGGTGGTGATGTTGGAAGTCAGTCAGCTGGTAGTTGTGGTGGCCGTACGGGCGGCGGTGGTCCTGAGAGTCGGCTGGGCTGGTAGTGGTTGTACTGGTGGTTGGTCACGTGGTGGTGATAGTGATCAGCGCCTACCTCCCCAGGGCGCTCAGGATCATCTCAGCACTCCCTTGTTGTATGGTGCGTGAGATGTCCCGCCAGATCCGGCTCAAGAGCTCGGACCAGTCGGCATCCTCGAGAGAGGCGCCGTAGCTCCGAACGAAGCTTACTGCTTCGTCGGACGGCCGCCCCCCGGTCTCGAAGACCATGGGGACGAGGTCTAGGCCTTCCCGGGGGGGGTACCGGCCCCATTTGTCGTCGACCATCTGGGCTGCTGCGAGTCCGTCTCGTTCGGTTCGGGCGTGCCTGCGTGGGGCGTAGGTGGAGGGTACGCAGGTCGCCGCCCAGTCGACAAAGATGGGTCGACCGGTGCTGGGGTAGAGTCAGAACAGATTGAGGCGGACGATCACGCGACATCGTCGATGCATCGTCGATTCATCGGCGACGTCGGCGATGCATCGGAGACGTCGGCGTGGCAGAAATCTGGCTCCACATCGAGCCGCATCGCCGATGCATCGGCGAGGCGGCGCGATCCTCTGACCCTATCTACTCGGACCCCATCTGGGAGGCCTGGAATTACGGTCGGCGTTGGAAACACAACGTGCCATGCCGATCTCCAGAAAAACACGCTATCCCTGTGAGGCGATCCCCCCTCGAGGGCCCCTTCCGTGCACGCTAGATCCCCCTGGCAGGGCTTCTTCCGTGCACGCTATCCCCAAGGTGGGGGATAGCGTGTTTGAAGTGGATTGGCGGCGTCACATCACACGCTATCTCCCCAACGCCAACCGTGCATCACGGACTCTCAATTGGGCTCAAGAACGGGTCCCCATTGGTAGAACCACTCCGCGAGGAAGGGCCAAATGAAGAGAGGGGCCCAAGGAGGTACAGGCCCACGGACCTGCCCATGCAACGGCTCAGGGGTCGCACGCCCCCGTTCCTGCAGGCGGCTCCGGTTCTACTAGTCCGTCGGTTGGGCGTCTCTGCCCGCCTCCTCCCTCCGTAGCCCTTCGCAGCGATCCCTGGAGCTGGGCTCCTAGGGGATGGCCCCCTGAATGGGAAGCGAACTTCAATGTGGCAAACGTCCACTGCATCTTGGGGGGATGTCCCGCCTCCTCGCGGCGTGAACAAAATCACGACTGGCATGATTGTTGCATTCTTTTGCCTCCGGGGCCCTTGCCGGGCCACGGGACCTTCAAAGAACGACTCAGGATGAAAAGCTGGTGCCGGGGAGAAGGTCCAGAGCTTCGGGAGCCGACTTTGTGAACAAATCGGGGCGGTGGAGTTTCGGAGGCAGGGAGAAGGAAGAACGACGGAAGAAAGATCTTGAAGATTCCTCGTCCTTGTCATTCTCCCCCTCCTTTTCCTTCTTCTCCTCCCTCGTCCTCCTCCTCCCCCCGAGCCCCGGAAATCGTCCTGAGCGCTCCTGCGGGAGCGGGAAGGAATCGCGGATCGAAGACCGACCTCCCCACCCGACAAAATTTCGAGCTGTCAGATCCCCCCCTCCAAACAGAAAGGTTGCCGAACCGCCTCGCCCGCCCTGCACACCGCGGCCCGCAAGACCCAAGACTCCGTCTTGTCCACGGGAATCCCGCCTCGCCCGTCCTGCATACTGCGGCCACCAGACCCCAAGACCCTGGGTGGTCCCTGGGTACCTCGCCTCGCCTGTCCTGAATACCGCGGCCGCAAGGCTCCAGAGATCCCCGAGACTCCAGTGACGACCTAGTGAACAATCATGCAGAACAGGCGAAATCAACGGACAACCCCACCAAGGAGGCGTCACGGCGTCACGCCGTGCAGACGTCACGGCGTACGCAGACAGCTAGAACAGGCATAGCGAGCATACACTAAGACTCTGCGCCCAGAACGCACATTGAGAACATGCGTTGAGCACGCGCACCAGCGACATACACAAGCCTTGTAGATAAACGCCTACGCCCAACTACCTACGTCACAAATCTACGCCACAAGCATGCATCAATAAAACACGCAACCACGACATATACCAAACATGTACATGCCATGACATATCAGCCTCACTCATTTTTGCCATTCACCAACACTATATGTCACTAGCATACGTAACGCGCAGACATCATGCACCGTCACCAGTCACACACATCATTGGCACGAGTTACCAGCCCACGCGCCTAACATACCCAAATGACATACACCGAATTCATACGTCAATATCCCACACCTGGAGCAAACATACATAACACACGCTAGATACACGCTCCAATCTCACTCATCAATAGGGGAGGAAGGGCCTGACGCGGCGCACTTGCCGCTGCCGGCGTCGCAGACCGGCGCAAGGAGGTTCGAGAAGCACTCGTGGTCGGCGGAGCAGGGCACGTCCCCCGCGGGCTGGAGCCCGTGGCCAGACAGACATGCCCAGGGGCCAGGAAAGTGGGGTACTGGGCACTTCCAGGCACCCAGATCTCCAACCCCTGAATCACTGGCCAACCTAGAGTACTGAACAAATGCGCGCTCGATAAAGCTTTCATGATTGGCAAAAGTAGCTTTTAAGTACCGCGAAAACTGGATTTACCCAAATACTCCAGCGAATGGAAACAAAACAATCGAGCACATCTTCAAAACATCAACTCATGTATCAAACCCAAACACATGTCCACTAAATGTGGGGTTCCTAAACGGAAATCCTCTCACTATCACGACCTAAACTTTTCGATGCCACGCACTGCCATCTCTCGGGCGCCTATATTTACTCCCGCCAGCTTCTAGCGTTCGTCCGCCAGTTTCCGCCGGCGGAGGCGGCCTGGTGTTGCTTCCGCCGCCTTGCGCCGAGGAAGAGGCGCAAGTGCCTTCGACCCTCGACAGCGAATCCCTTTTCGGGAATGTTTCCTATAACCTGTGTCGATCCTGGCGTCATTCTTTGATATCGGTGCAAAAGGCGGGGGCGATGCCCAGCAACGAGTCTTGTCCCAAACCAACAACGGCCGCTGTTGAGCAAACGACTTGCTGCCTGCATTGGACAACGCCCGCGTCAACACTGACAGTACGTCCTTAGGAATGGGTGGACATGGTGGAAACTACTGTCGGCCATCGCCAGTTGTTCCCCGCAGCCAAGTCCACTGCGCCCAGGCAGCCTCCTACACCCAAGGGAAGAAGGACGATGAGGGGCAGGAGGAGGAGAAAGAGGAGGAGGAAAGAGGAGCGAGAAGGAGGAGGGATGGGCGAAAAGAGGAGGAGGAGAGGAGGAGGAGGAGGAGGAGGAGGTGGAAGAGGAGAAGGAGGAAGATGAGGACGACGAGGAGCATACGAGCAGGAGGAAGAGGAGGAGGAGGAGGAGCAGGAGGAGGAGCAGGAGGAGGATCGAACGCTCCTGGAAGGAGGGACAGAGAAAGAGTCAAGAGGTCCATGCCTCTCAAAAAACCTGGGCGCAGCCCCCTTCGGAGGAGACCCTTTCTGTCACCCTAGCAGTGGTACCATCAAACTGCGAAGGGGCCACGACAGGGGGCGCGTCCAGGCTCCAAAGGGCCTGCGTATTCTGACTCCCCTGGGGGCTCCCACGGGAAAAGCCGCCCCAGGCTAGAGACGGGGGGTGGGCCGCTCAGCCCAGCAGGGCTCGACGCGCACCGAGGCTCACAACAGCGCGACCCCCTCGGACGCACGTGACCCCGAAGCGCGCGCCACGGCAAAGTCAACGCACGCGTCAGAGCGCACTGGGCAATCTTAGCTACAGGAAAACAGTAACTCACCAGGGTCAGGGGCGACCCGCGCACCCAAGGAAGCGGCCCAAGGCCCGTTTCGAAACCCAGCCACCCTGATCATCGACCTCGCCCCTGACCCAAGCCACACTCATGGCTAGACGAGCCTCGCGGACGCCACGACGCCAGGCCAGGCCCGCTCTGCGCTCCACGACCGTCATGGGCACGGGTGGGCCCGCATCGGCGCCCTTCGCACGCCGGCCAGGCCTGCGGATATCGCGGTCGACGTCGTCGTCGCAGGCCGCCGCCCTCTCCGCCGCGTGCGTCTGCAGCACCTTGGGCCTCGCCGCGGCGACGGACGCGGCGGCGACAGAGGCGGCTGCGATCGGCAGCGGCCCGTGCACAGCGGCGACCTTCTCCAAGTGCGCGACACCTTGAGGGTTGTTTGCACGGCACCCCACCGTGGCACGCCGTTGCCTCCAGGGCCGACGGCGCGTCGCCGATGCTCACCTGTTCCTCGTACTTCTCCAGCCCACTGCCCCGGCGCCCCATGTGGCCCTGCGTGCCGAGGGACTCCGAAAGCACGTCGCCGCCGTGCAGCGTGTCCTTCGAGACCCCGCGCGCGCCCTCGACCTGCGGCGGCGGCGCGAACGCGCCAGCGGCCTTCGCGAAGCCAGGTTGCAAGTCAGCCTTGTCGACCTCGCCGCTGCGCAGCATGCCGTCCGAAACCCTCTGCGCAACCCCGGGGCTGCCGTCGGCATCGCGGCCGACGCTCTCCCGCGCCTGAAGCCGACGCCAAGTCCGCCAGCGCGGGCGCCCGCCTTCCTGACCTTCTCGGCATGGCCGAACTTGGCCCCCGCGGTGCGCCCGCGCTCGGCGCGATCCGCCGTCCTCGAAGGCGTCGGGGCCCCCGGCTGCGAGCGGCGAGCCGCCGAACGCGCCCCCGCCGCCGCCGCCGGTTGGGCCGCGTCACCCCCGCCGACGCGATGACCGCCGCAAGCGCGGCGGCCGCGCGCAAGCCAGCTTCGCGGCGAGCCTGCCGCGCTGGCTCCGCTGCCTGCGCCGTGCCATCCAGCGGGCCCGCCAGTGCGCCCTCCAGGAACGGCGCCGCAAGAGCCAGCCGACGAGCGCCTCGCACGGCGCTGCAACGGTGCCCTGCGACGCGACCAACGCCGCGGCCAGGGCCGCAGCGGCGCGCGCCTCGCCCGCTCCGCGTCGGGCCGACCCTCCGGCGACTTGGCGACGCCCTCCAACTCCTCCGCGCGAAGGTAGGCGGCCGCCAGCAGGCGCAGGCCGGGCCCTGGTGCTCCGCCGCGGCGCGCTGCCGACGGCCCCAGCGACCCCCGCCGCTGCGCGCCGGCGGCAGGAGGCCTTCTCGCCGAGGGCAGCCCCGAAGTCATCTGGAGGTGGCTGCGCTGCAGACGGCTCGCGGGAGGCTCCGCCAGAGGCCGCGCAGCCTCTGCGCGGCGGGCCTGGGCAAGCGCACGCGGCCCCGACCTCCTGCGTGCGAGAGCGGGCCCCGACAGCGCGCTCCCGGCGCGCACCTGCGGCGCCCCGAGCGCGGAGGCGCGGGCGCTGGGCGGGGCGCTGGCCACAAAGAAGAGCGCGCTCTGGGCAGCCCGCTCGGCGGCGCCACGCGCAGGAAGCTCTTCCTCGCCGGCGCCGCCGGGGGCCGCGGACTGCAGAGCGCGGGGCCCAAAGCCCCCGCGGCGAACGCGGCCCCCCCGGAACCTCTGCCTGCCGCGAAGCCTGCAGCGACTTGGCCTGGAGAGCGCCGCCGCCCTGGCTCTGCGCAGAGCCCCTGAGCGCGCCGCGCTCTGCCCGCGGCCGCGGCGACGCCCCGGGCTTCTCTGGGAGACGACGGCGCCCGCGTGGGCGACGAGGCACTGGCAGCTACGCAGCGCGCCCTGGCCACGGCCCCCCTCGCTGCGGCTGCCCCTCGCCGCCGACGAAGCGGCCGCGGGCCCCCCGGCGGCGGCCCCCCTGCGCTCTGCGGGCGGCCCAGGCGCGAACGCCCTACTGCAAGTGCCGACGCAACTGTGCCACCGGCTCACCAACGCGAAACTCGGCCTTGCGCTGCGACTCCGGCATGACCTCGACTTGCCGGGAGGAGCGGGCCCCCCGCTCGCGCCGGGCGCAGCCGGGCCCGGGCCCCCGAGGCTCTGCCAGCACTGGCACCCTCGCGGCGGGATCTGCGGCGCCCAACTCGACCCTGAGGGGCGGCGCGCGCGCGCGGCTGCCCCGCGGGGGTTTGGCTCGTCCGCCGCCGCGACGCGGGTTGCGCGGCGCTTGCATGGTGGCGCGAAGAGCATTGATGCACAGTGCACCGAGAGGTTCTGCTCCCCCACGCAGCTCCGGGGAGCCCAGAGGCGCGGATGGACTTCGTCGTCCACGCTCCGCGCCTCGCTGAGCTGCTCGTGGTCGACCTGGCCGCGGTGAGCACACTCACGCAGGACGCCCTCGCGCTCGGCTCCGCGCACCGGGGCGGCGCGGCAAAGGCAGCCGCGACGGCGCAAGCGGGACCGCTACCCTGGGGCGGCAGTGGCCCAGTTCGCGGTGGAGGACCATCGAGCAAGCGCTGGCGCTGACGCGGCTGCGCCCGCCCAGGCCACCGAGCGCTCTGCGGCCGTCGGGCGACTACAATCCACTAGTTAGTCGGGTGCGTCTTGCAGCGCCACGCCGCCGACGCGATGCTGGTGGCGACGCAGGCGCAGGGCTGGGCAGCTGGCGCCAGGCGGGGCCACCCTGGCGGGGGCTGAGCTACCCCGGGCGAAACCCGACAGCCGCGCCAGGCACCGACTGAGGGTGGCTGCGGCGGGCGCTGGAGCGCCGCCGGCTACTGCGCGGAGCTGCCGAAGCAAGTCGCCAACGGCGCGCATGGTGCACGGGGCCGGCGCTGCGCGCGAGCGACCGCGGTCGTGGCGCGGCCCGGCCGCAGCTGGGGCGCGCGGCGGCCGCGGCGCGCGGCCAGGCGCGCACTGGCGCGGCCAGGCGGCGGCTGGGCGGCGGCCCGGCGGCGGCCCGGCGGCGGCGGCGGCGGCAGCGGGGCTCGGCGGCGGCGCGGCGCTGGGGGTAGCTCGGCGTTGCTGCTGCGGAAACCGGGGGGGGGGGGCGGCAGGCGTAGCGGCCTGGAGCGCCGGGCCGTGCTCGAGCTGGGCTACCCCATCGTCGTGGGGCCCGCCGTGCTCCCGTGGCACTGGCCGGCAGGCCCGTCCCCCCTGGGAGTGACCGCTGTCCTAGACAGCGCCCCCCCTGGGGAGCCGCCCTCCTTTGCAGGGCGGCGGAAGAGTCTGCCGGCTCCCGATCACCGACCTCCGGGCGCGCGGGACAGACTCGCGGCCGCCGGAGGAGGAGGAGGAGGAGGAGGAGGAGGAGGAGGAGGAGGGAGGAGGAGGAGGAGGAGGAGGAGGATGAGGAGGAGGAGAAGGAGGATGGGGAGGAAGGGAACGACGACGAGGAGGAGGAGAGCGAGGGAGGGAGTGAGGGGAGGCCTGGTACCCCCCGCCCCTGGCCCTCGTGGAGGCTGGCCGGCCACGGGGCTGGACGGCGAGCGACGCGTGCAGCACGCAAGCCGCCACGGCAGCCCACCTCTTGCTGACTCTGGCCGCGGGCTCGGCCCCCTTCGCCCGCCCCCCCCCCCCTCCGCCTGCTCCTCTCCGCCAGGCTCCCCCTCCGCCTCCGCCTCCGCCTCCCTTCTTTCTTTCTTCCTCCTCCTCCTCTCCTCCTCCTCCTCCTCCTCCGCCTCCTCGACCTCCCCTCCCTCTCCTCCTCCTCCCTCCTCCTCCTCCTCCTCCTCCTCCTCCTCCTCCTCGTCCTCATCCTCCTCGTCCTCGTCGTCGTCGTCCTCCTCCTCCTCCTCCTCCCCATTTTTCTCCTCCTCCTCCTCCTCCTCTCCTTTTCCTCCTCCTCCTCCTCCTCCTCCTCCTCCTCCTCCTCCTCCTCCCTTCCCCCGTCCCCTCGTCCCCCCCCCCCGCCAGGACGCCCCATGCAAGGCTCCAGAGCCCCCTCGCTCCGCAAAACCATCCCCCTCTCTCTTGCACCTCTCCCTCCTTCCCCACTCCCCTCCCCACTCCCCCCCGCTGCTAAACATCCCGGAATACATCTAGAATGCGCATACCCTTCGAAAAGCGTCCTCCCCACCCTCCCTCCGTGCTGATAGTTACGTAGCTGTTATTCGAAATCGCAATTTGCAGACTTGTTTCTGAGCCATACTGCGGCACAGAGAAGGACGTGCGGCATTACCTTTACCCTGTGAGCCTCCTAGCTCGCGATATGACGACAAGTTCGCAGTGGACGCGTCCGCTTACCCTCCGCTTTCCCCTATTCCTCCCCTTTTCGCTCGTCTCCTCCTCCCCCTCCTCCTCATTTTCCCTCCCTGGACCACCCCTGCAATGCCTTTTGACACACTACATAAACACAATCGTGCACCGACGACGGAACACATAATGAAACAGTGGAACAGGTCATCATCATCCCCCTCCTCTCGTCTCCTCTCGTCTTCTCTCCTCTCCTCTCCTCTCCTCTCCTCCCTCCTCCTACTCCTCCCGCCTCTCCCGAAAATAACTTCCTACGCATCCCGCTATCCCGCTCCTGCCCGCTTCCTCCCGCCACCCGCCCCCTCACCCCCACCATTTGTTGTTCTGCTCCTCTCCTCCTCCTTGCCCTCGTCGACCCCCTCCTCCTCGTCCTCCTCCTGTCCATCCTCGCCCCCCCTTTCGGGAGGCCTTCGAACCCATAGTCATTTTCGGGGACGCATCGGGAGGTAAAGACACTCACGACTGTCGTCTTAGGCGCGTAAAACTCGCAATGGCCACCTTTCTATGCTTTTCCCCGTGTCGCCTTGGGGCGCACATACTGGGCCCTTTACCAGGCCCCTCCCATACTGTCCCGCGTGGGGAGCTCCTAGCTTTCGAATGGGCTCTGCGTTTCACCACAGGTTCTGTTGCCTTTGTTACGGATTGTGCCGAGGTCTCCAGAGGGTGGTACGCTCGCGCTTTCGCTAGCCCCGAGGGACCTCAGGCTGACTCTGGCGCGAGATCCATCAGCATGTTATCAGCAGGGGGAGTCCCCCATATCTGTCCTTCAGATGCCCTCTCACCTGACAGGAGAACAAGCTGTGTCGCAGCATTGGCCGTCTTGGCTGGAGCAGGGGATCACTTGTATAGACGTGCTGGCAAGGGAGGCGGCCGCTCGCGCGAGAGTTTAAGTGGAGCGGCACCGTGTGTCTCGGGTCAAACGCAAAGCTAGTCTGGTGCGCAAGCGGCTCCTTAGAGTTGGCCTCGAATCGATCAAGGCATCACAGGAGGCTGGGGCCGCCCCGATCGTTTCTGGCTCTCGCTTCCCACCTCCTCCCCCACCCACCGCTGTCGCACGCCTCGCGTCTGCCCATACCCTGGCCGAGAACGGCAGGTCGTGTCCAGTGTGCCAAGGTTCAGCGTCCTAAAGACACGGAGTGCGAATGGTTAAAAAATGAGTGCTGCCCTCTCCTGCCCATCGATGGTCAGATCTCCCGAGTTCCCCCTGTGGGAATTGTGCACTTGGCGGGCGGTTGGACGCACCCCACCCACGCTTTGCGGTATCACCAAGTCTTTGGTGTGTGGTGTTGTGGCAGTTGTAGATTACTCGGCCAGGCCCAGCTCAGGGGCTTAGGACTCCCATGCCGCCCACAGTTAATCACCAAGGCCAGACGCAAGTACCTCGACGAGCTCACTCGTGGTCTGCACCCAAATCTGAACCAACACGAGTTCATGTCACTACGTGATGGCGGAAATCCTGGAAATCCTCCTCTTCCTCCGCCTGTTCCTCCTCCTCTTCCACTTACTCCTCCTCCCACCCCCTCCTCCCGCCCTCCACCTCACCGCCGCATCCACCTCCTCCGCTTCCTCCTCCACCTCTTCCTCGGCCCCTCCTCCTCATAAATAACTCCTCCCTGTCGCAAATTCACACGTGTCGGTAGGGCGCGCCAGGCGTTTCGCTTGAGACTTGGTCACGGTTTGGGATCCTGAAGCTTGACGCTTGCAGCAATCCCACCAGCCCTTTGGGCGTGAGTGGTTTAGCGAGCTCTCTCTGTTCTCAACCCCCCTTCTTCCCCTTCGGGGAGGGGTTTACCCCTCCCCCTACCCCCTCCCCCTGGGCCTGGAGAGGGCGTTCCGCGGGTCGTTGGAGGGGTCTTTTTCGACTCCTGGGAGGGCTAAAATTCGACACCCCTCACGAGGATTCTGGCCCCGACGGGGGGAGGTAGAAAAGTGCTCGCCCCATCTGTGATCGATCGCCCGACAGATGGCCCCAAGATTCCTCCCAGACCCCTCCCAAAGAGCCCCAAGAGAACCCAAGAGGCCCCCAAGAGGCCCCCAAGATGCCCCCAAGGGGCCCCCCAAGAGGCCCCAAGAGGCTCCCCCGAGGCACCCAAGACGCTCCTGGAAGCCCCTGGAGCCGCGAAGAGGCCCCCAAGACGCCCCACGCGGCCTCCAAGAGGCTCCGAAGAGGCCCGAAGAGGCTCCCCCAAGGCACCCAAGACGCTCCTAGAAGCCCCTGGGGCCGCCAAGAGGCCCCGAAGACGCACCAAAAGACCTCCAAGAGGCTCCCAAAAGACATCTACTTCTACTTCTACTGCCACGTCTACTACTACGTCTACTACTACTACTACTACTACTACTACTACTACTACTACTACTACTACTACTACTACTACTACTACTACTACTACTACTACTACTACTACTACTACTACTACTACTACTACTACTACTACTACTACTACTACTACTACTACTACTACTACTACTACTACTACTACGACTACTACTACTACTACTACTACTACTACTACTACTACTACTACTACTGCTACTACTACTAGTACTACCACTACCACTGCTACTAGTACCACTGCTACTGTTACTACTGGGACTACTACTACTGCTGCTATTAGTACTAAGACTACTACTTCTACTATTACTACTAGTCCTATTACTGCTACTACCACGACAACTACCACTACTACTACTAAGACTACCATCACTACTACTACTGCTACTACTACTACTACTACTACTACTACTACTACTACTACTACTACTACTACTACTACTACTACTACTACTACTACTACTACTACTACTACTACTACTACTACTACTACTACTACTACTACTACTACTACTACTACTACTACTACTACTACTACTACTACTACTACGACTACGACTACTACTACTACTACTACTACTACTACTACTACTACTACTGCTACTACTACTAATACTACTACTACTTCTAAATCTAGTACTACTACTTCTACTCATGGTGCTACGGCCACTACTACTACCAGTATTACTACTACTGCTACAATTGAAGTACTACTGATGCTACTACTGCTACTACTACTACTACTAGTACTAGCACTACTGCTACGACTCGCACCAGGACGAAGTGCCCGAACGCCTCACACCACGAGGAGCCCGAACGACTCACACCAGGACGAGGGGCCCGAACGACTCACACCACGAAGAGCCCGAACGACTCACACCAGGAAGAAGAGCCCGAAGGACTCACACCAACGAGGCGCCCGAACGACTCACACCACGAGGAGCCCGAACGACTCACACCAGGACGAGGGCCCCGAGCGACTCACACCACGAGGAGCCCGAACGACTCACACCAGGAGGAGGGGCCCGAACGACTCACACCAGGACGAGGGGCCCGAACAACTCACACCACGAGAAGCCCGAACGACTCACACCAAGACGACGAGCCCCAACGACTCACACCACGAAGAGCCCGAACGACTCACACCAGGAAGAAGGGCCCGAACGACTCACACCAGGACGAGAGGCCCGAACGACTCGAACCACGAGAGGCCCGAACGGCTCACACCAGGACGAGGGGCCCGAACGACTCACACCACGAGGAGCCCGAACGACTCACACCAGGAAGAGAGGCCCGAAGGACTCCCACAAGGACGATGGGGCCGAACGACTCACACCACGGGGGGCCCCAACGACTCCCACCAGTCGTCGTCGTCGTCGTCGTCGTCGCCGTCGTCGTCGTCGTCGTCGTCGTCGTCGTCGTCGCCGCCGCCGCCTTCATCGTCGGGGTCGTCGACGTCGTCGTCATCGTCGTCGTCGTCGTCGCGGTTATGGTCGTCGTCGTCGTCGCGGTCGCTATCGTCGTCGTCGTCGGGTGCGTCGTCGTTGTTAGGATCCTCGCTGTGGTCGTCGTCTCCGCTAACTCCCTCTTGCCTCCCACCGCTTTTTCTCCCTCCTCCTCCGCCTCGTCCTTCTCCCGCTCCCACCACAAGGAGGATGTACAAGGAGGCGGGAGGAAGGAGGAACAGGGAAGATATGCGGGGGCAAGCGGACACACGCATGAAAAACACGACTGTCGGCATGCTTCCCAAGAGTTGCTGTTTTGAGATGGGCTGGTGGGGATACGCGAAGCGTGAATAATTTCAAGGATGGACGAAGACCGTTTTCAACTGCGGCTCCCGCCTTCATGCCACGAGTACTCGCCTTAAAATATTGCAGCAGCTTCAAAAATGGATGGGATGGGAGGGGATGTCAGAATGTCGTTCTCGCCTTAGCGCCGTG